GCAGAACAGATTCTAAAGAAAGCACCAACTTTGATGTGACCAAATAACCTTATAGACTGTTTACTCAGCTCTCTCATATCTGAGTTCCCAAATGGGCAAAGTAATAAAAGGGTTATAGTGCTCGTGTGTAGATGGGATGGGCTCCAGGTCCAAGTACTGGTATTCAACTCTGGTCCAGAGACAGCAAAGTTTAAGTTTTTGCTAGCTTTAATCTAAGATGAACTGAAACAATGGGTCTCAGCAACATTTACTTGACTTGTGCAACATGGCATGGGCCATGCTCACCATGCTTCTTAGCCTCTATGAGCGTCAGTGTCCTCAAAACAATACACAAAATTATCCCAATGCTTATATGACATCATGGGGAGAAAATTCTGCAAATATCCCAGCAGAGGTCATTAAACAGTAGCTGTTAAATGCTGAAGACTATAGCTTATCAGACTGATAGATGGAAAAAATGTGTACAGAAAAATGAGTGCTTATAGAATATTTTCTATGGAAAAAATGTGCTGGAGTGGAGAAGAGGGAAGAAGCTCAGAAGTTCAATGTCCTTTTTGGCCACAAGGAAAATTTGAGGCTGGCAGGGACTAAGGAGTCTCTTTCTTAAAAAGCAAGCAAGCAAATAAACAAATCGCAAATAAAAAGAAAGGAGGGAAGTAAAATGGAAGTCAGCCCTGAGTTACTATTTCTCAGTAGCTACTAAATAGCTATAGAACTTGAGGATCACCCTTCAGAAGCTTTTGCTTCAGGTACCTGCCAGACTCTAGAACTCATGGTTGATAAAGTTTGCTCACCAATCCATCATAAAAAATTACACATTCTACATTAAAAGCAAATGAGTAAATGGGTAGCTAGACTGAATATATGCTCTAAAATACCCAATTCTAAGTGTTCTGCAGCCTTCTTGTTCTTGGGTGTTTTTCCTTTCCTTTCCCTGTACAGAACAATGTGTAAAATGGGCAAAGAGCACAGTAGGTGGCTCTCTTTGGTACTTCCTCGGCAAGGCAAAATGACTCACTGGATCCTATATCTGTGCCACCAGCCAAGGCCTGAAGAAATTGAGCAACAATTGAAGACATGTGTGTGCTGAAGATAACCTTTTAGTTTTCCCTCTGCTTGCTCCTTTGATCTCCCCCAGCCACACTCTACTTTCCTAACTCTACCAGGTAAGCTAGGGCTAAGTGTCTACTGTGGGGCAGGAGCTGACATAGGCTCCCAAATGGCAAAGCGTTTCTTCTGGAAGTGCATTAAGAAGCCTGCCTGTTATCTACAAAGGTGAGAATCCTGACTCATGAAGAATCTCCATGGACAAACAGCCTCTGTGACTCCATCCTTCTCCATGCACCTGAAGCTATCAATTCCTACTAGGAGGTCTAGAACTCTAGACCTATAGTTAATGGTAAAATCGAGTACTTAACATGGGTTCCCTCCAAATGCCACTTTTGCATACTTTATTAGTTAGCTTTCTGTCCTTGCAACCAACATACCTAATAGAATCCTCAATGGAGGAGGGGTTTATTTCGGTTGAGAAAATGCAGTCCAACCATGGGACTGTGTTCCTGTGTACTACTACGAAACATCACTGGGTGGAGACTGTGTTAGAAGATTGCCATTTACATCATGACTAACCAGAAGACACACAAAAGAAAGGAAAAACCACCATTTTGCTTATGTCTTCCTTTTACCCTTTTATTCTGTCTAAGCCTCCGTTCCATGGAGAGAGAGAACTGTGTTTTACAAGTCTAAATGATTCTACACCCTGTTAAGTTGACAATAAAGATTAAGCATTACACATGCTCTTCTCTCTATCCTACTTTGTCTATGAAGTGGTGAGAGAGTTGGAGAATGGTAGGCCAATTGTGACATTTCCTCCTTAGTTATCGTGCCAACCACTAATCAACTACAGACCAGAACAGCAGGAGGAAGATGTGGTCCAGACTAGGAAGATCAGCTTGACATAATCCTGAGCTCTATATCTTGACAGTACCACTCCCCCTAGCATCTGAAGGAGCACCCCATCAAACACTTGAGAATGGAGTGAGGCCTTAGAGAGCATCCCTGGAAACTCTACTGGGAGTCAAATCCACAAACTCTATGGAGCCATGTTGAGGAATTATCCTCAAAGAAATAACAGCTTTGTGACCTGAAATCACCAACCAAATAAGTTCAGTCTAAGAATGCAAATAAGTTGTTCACATTCAACTGGAGAGGCAGCAGGGTATGATGGGAAAGGGCCTGAAAGAAACTGAAGGAGAACTCAGAGATGTGAACTATATTCCTAGGACAGAAATTCACTAACTCTGTGATCCCTGGAAACCTCTTATTTCTGGGAGTCTCGCTTGAATTTTCTTTCCAGTGAACTGAGATAAGCTAAGAGAGGTGCTATTTAATGAGCAGTTCTCCACTACATGTACTTGATGCTAAGCACTGAACTTCATCTTCACAAGAAACCGTAGCATAAGCATTTTTAAGTCATTTAAGAACTGGATAAAATTGAATCTCTGAAAGTTGAAACAGTTTTCCCAGTAGCACACATCAACTTACGTATCAAATCCAGAATGTAAAATCTAGTGTCTCTTACCACACCATAGACCCTCCCACTAGTAATATGCTGGCCATGAGCATCTCAGAGGGTTAACACAAGCAACAAGGAAAATAATGTATGTGGAACACACTTGGAAATTTTAAAGTTCTACATACACACATACACAGTTTTTGTATAACAACAAGCAATAACATGTATTAGGAAAGAAAAACTCAACAAAAACTGAAAACCAGAAGGGATTTGCTTTCACAGTCTTCCCAATCCCCCTGTTTAACCTTATTTTGAGTAGTTCCCCTTTCCTTCCAAGTCCCTGGTTTCTCAAGCACAAATTCAGACATATCCCAGACAAGTCATCACAATGCAAGCACAAGGGACAGTCTACAAACTGGCATGACCCTGTCCTGTGGCAATGCCTGGTGTGGGAAATACCACCACCACACCCTTCACTCTTACCTTCTCTCAAAATGTATCCCGCCCCTTCCCTGGAGTTCAATATTGCACGAAAATGCTGTGGACTGTGAAGGAAGCAGCCCTTACAAATGCCATACATTCATTTCTGAGACTTGCAGCACAGCCAGTAGATGGTAGTAAATAATTGTATGGATCAAAATAAAATCAATTGTCATGCAAGTAGTGTAGAGGTGACTACAGAAGCTGCTTAATTTTAAAAGACAAGTAACATAGGAAGGCTCATGTGAGCATATGTATGTGTTTAAGTTTAAAAAGGCAAATTAATATCCCTCAGAGACCAAACTTCAGTGTCATTGAAGAATATATAAAAATTCTGTTGCTTTCTGATACTAGCCCAAGAATATAAAGTTGTTAGATGAACCTAAGAACAGGAATAGAAGACTAGGCACTATCTATGGCATTGCTACAACTTCAAGCTTCCTTCTCTTGTCTTTTTTAATCCCTTATGAAATATAAGACCCTCTTTGTCAACCTAGGATATCGCCTACAAAGGCATTTCACAAGCTGGAGGCTTGACCTGAAAATGAGGAAGAAATTCACATGCTCAAACACCAATTTTACAACCAAGTCTACCTGGAGACAAGATTCAGAAAACCCTGGAGTGAACTGTTCAGGCCCTGCAGATAAGGTCACCTACCCCCAAACATGACTGCTAGAGTTCCAGCCACCTGGTGGAAAGAGTTCAGATTCCTGAGAACTGTCCTCTTACCTTACCACACATGTACACACAGGTGCATGAACAGTACAAGTGCACACACTTGCCAGCACGCATATAAATGAACACACATAAATAAATAAATAAATAAATAAATAAATAAATAAATAAATGCAAAAAAATATATTCTTTCAAACGTTCAAACCCTAAAAGGGGAAAACGCCATTCTATTTTCCAGGATTAAAAAGGGTCACTCCAAAGTAGTAGGAAATCACATTTCTCAAACACAGTGAACCCACAGTAGCCAGCAATATTTACCAAAGTTACCAGGCCAAGCACCATGCTGAACATGTCACTTGAACTGCTCTATTTCTTCCTCCCAACTACCGGGAGGAATCACAGAGAGCACTCTAATGTCCGTTTTGCCAAGTGAAAGGGGATTAGCAATGTGGGCTAAACTACTCAAGTTCACACTGTCAACACAGGCACAGAGAAAAAAACCAGACCTTCCCAGTCCATTGCTAACCAGGAATCTGCCCTGCAAAGCAAAGCGTCTGGTTCACAATTTCCAGATCAGTGTGTTGAGGGAGGGAACTGTCTCTCCTAAAGGAAGCAGCAGCAGAAGTTTGCTTTTCCTGCTTCCCTCATTTACAGCCAGCACTGAGCAGTAGAAGGAGACTCCAGGCTCCATGAAGTCAGCTGTTCCTAAAGGACAGGCATCCTGTGTCACCCAGGGAGGGGGGGGGTCTCCTTTTGCCTCCAAGCCTGGGAGAGTGGTGGCCAGCACCTGGCTGTTTCTTACCTCTCTCCTAACTCATCGGGGCTCTTGTGGAGACAGCCTCGATCCGGGAAGGAAAAAAAAAAAAAAAAAGCAGGTCAGGAAAGGAGCTAGCAATGCTGCTGGCAGCCTCTCCCCAGGCTGTCATTGCTGGGGCTGCGAGCAACGTGATGGAGTGGGTGTGCTGGGACACAGCCTCCTGCTCGCCTCACGCTTACAGCGCTCTCCAGAGAACCCTAGGCACAGGGAGACTGGTATAGATCCCTCAAAAGGGCTGAGAACACGCACAGCCACCGGCAGCCGTCCCAGGACTGCGTTACTTAAACCCTACCAATCAAAAACAGGGATTCGGGTTGCTGAGTTCGAATCCCGACCTCCCACACTAACTAGAAGTGTTAGCGTGTTTAGCGTGGCGGCTGACTGGCCCTGTGTCTCAGTTTTCCCGTCTGTAAAAGAGAAGGGTTGTAGGAGCCAATCTAGAAGAATCCTACTACCCTGAGTTACTGCAGCTGGCCATTCCAACCCAGCCCTCCCTGCAACGCGAGACTCACCTTTCTGGGCCAGCCGAGCGGGCTCCGCGACAGCGACAGGATGGGTGCAGGGTGGCCGGCCACTGCCTCTTTCCAGACCCTGATCAGAGCCTATCCCAGGAGATCCAGATCCTGCCAACCTCCTCCGACTAGCCTCTTACTTTCCACCGCACTTTCTTTTTCCCCCTCCGGGGCTCCTCCCCCGCCACTGCGCGATTGGCCCCGGGATCCGGCCACAGGCTCCACCCGCTTCGGTGGCTCGCGCTCCGCCCGCGGTCGGGGCTTCCCAAGGGTGGGGTGGGGGCGGCACGCGGGGCAGTCCCGCCCGCTGCGAGGAGGAGCCGCACGGGCCCGCCCGCCGGCGGATGCCAGGCTGTGCTGGGTGCCCCCTCCTGGGCCAGCCGTGCCCGGGCGGAGCGCGCGTGGAAGGGTTAGCTCTGCAGCCGGCTAGGCGCGCGGCCAAGTGCTCAGGGCAGGTACGGCGCCCCCTGCACACCTAGGCTCACCGGCGTGCTTCCTGCAAGATCACGGTCCTGCAGCCCAGGTCGACACTACCATAGGGTTCTTTAGTCTGTATATTCACCTGTCACATACGACTGGCCAGGATTCGATTCAAGCTGCACGCTGGAGAGCCCACCATGTGCCCAGCTCCTAGAGCAACAGGAACCAGAAGCAGCACAGCCGTGTCCGCAGTGAGGAGCTCTCTCTTGCTCTGCTTAGAAGTGGTGGTCACTGCAAACAAAACACCCATCCTGACAGTAGGACTTAATCAGTATCGTCCACTGTTCCTATCCGGCCGCTGGCACAATGAGAGGCACAAAGCTGGCATTCAGGGCGAGTAAGCTGGAAAAAAAAAAATACATGGGCGATCGATTACAGAAGGCAACAAGTTCCTATTCATTCATTCTCATATCTCCGGGTCCTTAAAGGAGCTTTGGCTGCCATCGCCTCTCTACACTAGTTATGCAATCATCCAAGGAGCTTTATAGTGGCCTTCCTTAAGTCAATTTTCTTGTTCAAGAGCCTCCCCGAAAGCAAGGCCCTTCAAACCCTGTCCCCATTACAGAGTATCCCCCAACTAAGGCAATCTGCCAAATACACTTGTCTCTTCCCATAGGCCTTGCTCCTTTGCCCCCTCCTTGAAGTCGGCTCCACCCCCAAGCTACTTACTGTCTTATGAATTTGTTTATTCAAGAAATCGAGTCCCAGACGAAGCAATTAAGCAATGAGAAAGGGAGTGTAAAAGCAAAGGATCTGTGTGAGTGGAAACAAAAAACGAGAGCTCGGAAACACCGGACATAATAAAAATGCTGGCTGTTCAAACCTCAGACGTGTCCCTGGTCTGGAAGAGCTTCACTCCTGTGTTCTTTCCCTCTGCTTTGCCGTGATCTAAACATTCGAGAGAACAGCTAAAGTCATGGAAGACCTACTTTGACTCACAGTCTGAGAGATCTGATCCCACAGTTGGCAACTCTGGTACCTCTGTACCGCATTGGGGGTGGGGGAGGGAGGGAAGGAAGAAGGGCAAGGGACCAGTGCAGCACCGACCTCCAACTAGCATCTACCTCCTGAAGCCCCCAGAATCTCCCCCCAAACAGACCAGTTGTTCAACACACATAGCTATGTGGGACATTTCTTATTCAAACTGTAATAACTTCCTAAAACAGGTCACAGAGATGGCCACATGTCGCATTTTTATCGCCAAAAAAAAAATGGACCCATTCCACAATTATGTGTGTCTGACAGTCTGGTACATAATATGCACCCACAAGATTGTCACTGATCCAAAGAGGAAATAAACCACAACATTTTAAAAGTTATTGATGACAAACAAAAATAAAACTCTTTTACTTATTCACTGAACATATCCTAGGCACTAACTTTTTAAATGCAGTGCATTTATTAAGCATTTTATTGATTACCTACAAAATAGAAAGCATAAATCAATCACAACGGCTTCCAATCTATTCCCCCACAGCAACAGATAGGGTGTTAGGTACAAAATATGAAGAAAATGTTCACAGTGCTGGAAGTCTAGAAATGGAAGGTGCAAAAATCCGGACTCAGGCAGCCAGCATTGTCTAAGCACCACCCACCTGGACAAAAATAGATTGGGCTACCTAGAAGCCAGACAGAATATGGCAACTGGAAATGGACCCAGATATTATCCTGGACACTGAAGAGCTGCATGCAACTTCACATAGCATGTTTTGATTTCAACCTACATAAATAGTAGAACTAAAACTATAAGTTAGCCAATACTATATACTCAAATAATAAGGAATTTATTTATCATGATTACTATGTCATAGACATACATCTGCAAAAAGGACTGGGAATATGAGTAACAGGACAAAGCAAAAGTTAAATAGCCCTATGGATTGCAATTAAAAAGAATGTGGAAAACAGTGCAATGTAGATATTGGGAAGGGGTGTAATCATTGTGTTCCTCATTTCTGATTGTTGACCCCCATACTGGAGATTCACCTGGGAAGTAGATCCTCATTAAGTTTCGTCTACATTTGGTTGGCCAGGGAGCATGTGAGTGCCTGGATTAAGTGAGGTGTGAAGATTCACCCCAGTGTGAGGGGTGCAATTTCACTCTCTGAGCTCTGAACTTTGTGAAAAGCAGAGAGCTAGCTGACCCTTGCCATGCATGCATTAATCCATTGCTATCTACTCCTGACTGTGGATTAAATGCAGTCAGTTCTTTCAGACTTCCGTCATTCACTCCATTAATGTGATTCACTGTGACTTGGGATTGCAAGCTAAGTCAGCCCTTTCTCTCTTAAGTTGCTTTGGTCAGGGCATTTTACCATTGCAATGGAAAAAATAGGCAGTCATTTTTCCTTTTAAATATTTGGTTCATTATCAAAACATAATGAAAATAAAAAATAAAAATTTAAATTATTCACCACATAGAGGATATTCAATGAATGATTGTTTCCTGAATGAATGACTGAAAATTCAATTTCATTGCTGTTCTTTGGTACCTGATAGAACTAGATGTGCAGAAGATACACAATAAATATCTTGTAGTTGGTTGAGTTATTTGGGGACAGTCACCTCATTTCCCTCTTCTACTACTTTCTGCCTCCCGACCCTCATCTCTTCAGGGATCCTTAATTACCTTAGCAAAGCTATGAGTGGTCTCAGGTTTGATACCCTTTCCAACCTCATCAATTAGAGTGCTGTTCCTAATATGGTACAATCAAGGTCTCTAATGACCTCCATTTCAGTAGTCAGTGTTCAGTCTTCATCTTGCTTGGTTGCTTAAGCAGCATTAGATCATTTTGACCCATTGTCCCTTCACCCTCAGTCATGCTTGACCCTGGTTTTTGTCTGTCCCGTCTACTGTCCTTTAAGGACAGTTTTATCACATCGCTCTCTCTAAAAGCAGCGACACTGCAGCTCAGACTATGGAATGATTTTATCCCCTCTTTCAGGCATCTTATCTATACACATAGCTGTCTAAAATATCTATATGATAATGACCTGCAAATTTAAGTCTACAGCTCAAACCACAGACGAAACATACTGTTCTGCCTCCTTCATATCCATTCTTGATATTTCATGCATGTCTCAAACTTCACATATTGAGAATGAAGCTCATTAAGGGCAGGGTTTCTGAAGCCAAACTGTATCGGATTCCAAATCCTGCAACACACTAACATAAAATCACCATATTGCTTCTTTTTGTCTTGGTTTCATCCTCTGCAAAAATGTGAAAGGTAGTAGTATGTTTACCATGATGGTCTTTTAAAATCATGTAGCATATGCAAATGAAACTCTTGGAACTGAGATTGACATCAGAAATACTTTGTAACTATAAGTGACTATTTTTTAAACAAATATTATGAGGGTGTGGGCACAGCTAAAAGTGGTAAACTATTTGCACACTATGAGTGAGGCCCTAGGTCCACTTGCCAGTATTTCTGGAAAAACAAAAAAGAATTAAATCATCCTCTGTTTTCAAATATTCCACAATTTGTCATCACATTGGACTGACCTCCAGAGTCCTTATTGGGGCCTGTCTAACCTGACATGTTCCAATACTTTGCTATTTTCTTACATCTGTCTCTATGTGGCCCCTGTGTGTACTCAAGCTCACTGGCATGCTCCCCACCCCAGGACTTTGCTCCTTCTGTTCTCTCTTCTTAGAAAGATTTTCCTTCATGTCATCCCTGTTAATCACATCTTCCTTCATTAGTCAGCTGCCAGTACAGGGAAGCCTTTTCTTACAGACACATGGGATGCCTTCATTCCCTGTCTAGCTACATTGAACTCCTTTCTAACTAGAATGAAAGTTTTACAGGGACAATATGATGCCTCCTTAGCAAACAGGCAGAGAGAGAGAGAGAGAGAGAGAGAGAGAGAGAGAGAGAGAGAGAGAGAGAGAGAGAGAGAGAGAAAGAACCCTTGTTTAATAAGTGTCAGTTGAGATACAAACTCAATCCAACTCTTTCTCATTTCACTAATATTTTATTGCATTTATTCATTTTGTGTGTGAGAGTGTGTTTGTGAGTCAGAGTGTGTGTATGTGTGTGTGAGTGGGGGTGTGAGTGAGTGTGTGTGAGTGTGGGACTGTGGGTGCTGTAGCACAAGTGCCTTCACTGAGCCATCTGGCTGGCCTCAGTCCAGAACTTCCATGGTTCAACTAAGACCCAGATTTATGATGTCACATTGCCCTCCTCTGTTTTACACTTGTAGGATGCTAAGATATGGGAAGAGTAGAAGTAAAACAGAAGCTTTCAGTCCAGGCTGCATTCAAGGTGAAGACAGTATGGTATGCAGACCTGTTACTTTGTGCTTCCTTGTGAGGGTAAAGGGCAGGGCTGAGCCAACAGGGTTTAGAGGATCTATAGACAAGAAGAAAGAGCACACATGCCACTTTCCACATTTGCTGTGTTCCTATCCTGTGTATCTTTTGGTTCTGCCCCCCTCCTCTCAATGGCACACCAATTTTCTAACTGGGTGAAGCTATGGTCCTCAGCTACTGTCCCTCCCGCTTTGTTGCTTGTGCTCCTGATTAAAATCCTCCTCCTCCCGAAAGCTTTCATCAGCTAAGGGTAGGAAAATGAAAAGACTGACTGACAACGCGTTGAGGCAGAGGTTTCTGCCAATTCAGCCTTGCCTTCTCAGAGATATATGTACATTTCTCTAACACAGACACACGATTGTCAAAATTCCAGTTGTTTGGGAAAGGACATGTGCTTGTA